AAACCTCAGAAAGAGGGATCCGAATTCATTCTCTCTAAACTCCCTTGTAAAAGCACCCGTGCATTCTCCGTTATAATATAAATCGGGCTACAGGTGTTCCACCTAAAGTCCTACCGGTCAATTTGCGTGTTTTTACCTTTCTTACTTTGCCAAATCAAGCGAACTATTCTAGACCCGGTCTAGTATAGTTTAACCGGTCAAGTAATTTACACCATCATTTTTGGCGCCGACCGTGGGACCGTTAAGGTTTCTTCTCCTAAACACAAACCTACCCACTAAAACACCACTCGAAATGTCTTCCAGCCAACAAATCAACGCTACTTCCGCTCAGGTGCAGGCCACCAACGAGGGAGCCAGCGTCCCTGTGGCTGCTACCATACCGGTAATTTCAGCCCCGGTGTTGCCTCTGGGTCTGAGCTCTGTCCCGACGGCCAGCGTGATTAGTCCCTTCGTGACCCCCGTCTCTTCCGCTGGACCGAGGGTAACGTTCCCACCAAGCATGGCTCAGTTCATGAATGACCCAGCCAACCTACAAGCCATCCAGGGCTTTGGCCAGGTCATGGCCATGTGCCACCAGAACGGGGGGATGCTTTTCCTCCCAGGTATGTTCCCATTCGCCCTTCCAGGCGCGGGGACCATGCCTCTACAAGCTCCGATGGCGGTGACGTCGTTCCAGACGCCGATGCCGCAACCATCACCTTTCCAGCCCCAGCTGGTTTGCACCATGGCCCCGGTCAACTTGGCCAGTGCACTTAACGCTGCAGGGCCGTCGCGTCCCCCGCAAGCTACGGATCCACAGGTCACCCCTGATCGTCATTGCGTCTCGATTGAGAGCGATGACGGCGAGTGGGACATCTCGAGGGCCCACAAGAAGAAGAAAGGAAAAAACATCCGACTAGCGACCTCCCGAAACTCCGCCTTCGAAAGGCTGGGGGATAGGGAGGAAGGCCAAAGGAAGTCAGCCAAGCAGAGGCTGGGGCAGAGTGTTGCCCATGTCAGCGCATTCGCCCGGCTAGGCGAGGTGCGGGAGGCCGAGCCTGCCCGCACCCGGCGCTCCCGGTCTAACCGGCAGGAGCCAGCGAGGACGAGGGCCTCCCACCAGAAAGGGGAGGCAGAAAGCCAGCCCAGGTTACCGGTGGCAAACCGGTTAACCATCCCAAACGACCGCGTCCAGCAGATGGAGGCAAAGCTGGAAAGGCTGGAAAAGAAGGTCGGGGAGAAGAATGACCGGGACAAACCCCTGGTAGGGTCCCCGTTCACCACAAGGGTCCATCTGACACCTTTCCCGCGAAAGGTCAAGATCGACGCCCCCAGATTCACCGGGAAGGAAGATCCGGAGATCCACCTGGACTCCTTCAACCAGAGTGCGACCATGAACGGTTGCACCGATGAAGAAAAGTGCCTACTTTTCTTCCAGACCTTGCGGAGCCGAGCAACTGAATGGTTCAATAAGCTTCGCCCGGGAAGCATTGACTCGTTCAGTGATTTGGCCTCAAAATTCAAGGCGAAGTTCCAGGAGAATTGTACTAAGAGGAAGAAGTTCACCTATCTTAGTACAGCCGGGCAGAGGGAGTCTGAGAACCTCACTCAGTTCCTTACCCAGTGGAAGGAAGAGGTAGACAAGGTGTAAGAGATGGACGACAAGACCGTCCTCTCCCTCCTCTTGAATGGCTTGCGTGCTGGGGAACTATACAAGGAGTTCTGCCGGAAACCCCCAGCCACGTACCAAGAGGCCTATCATACTGCATGGGAGTTTGCTGAAGCTGAAGCCCAGCTCCGGGCAAAGAGAGAAGCTGAGCATGGTCACAAGCCCAAGCCGGTGCAAGTCAAGAAGGAAGAAGCACCGGGACCTAGCCGGCCGAGGCACCACTATGACCCGGTCATCCGAGTGGTCAATACAGAAGAATGCCAAGAAGTCCGGAAAGCACCGGTCATTCCTCCAGAAAACCCTACCGGTCAAGTAGGGCGGCA